GGAAAGAGTTTTCTCAGACCATCTGTCAGTTATCACAGCAGGCTGTGCTTAACCCTTTCTGTGCCAGCATGAAAAAATTCACTAATCTAGTAAATTGCTCCATCAGGTGCTATGGAGAATAAGGCATGGCATCTGCCTTCGAGGGGCTTAAAATTTAATAGGCAAGACAGGAGACATACACGACCATGTATAAAGCAGGCAGAATGCACTAAGCGTTATAAGAGAGCTACCAAATGTGGTGGAAGCATTAATGAGAGGAAGATTACTCTTGGCTAGAGGCTAGGGAAGCCTTCATGGAGGCACCTGAAGATAGGTGAAAAGGGCAAAAGTTGTGGGCATTCTCAGTAGAGGGACTAGCATGTTAAATGCCATAGAGGGGAAAAAGCCCAGACAGGTCTGTACAATGAACGGGAATAGTCTAGTGTGATAGGAGTATAGGATGTGGAAATAACAGTGGATATGGTTTTTCAGATTGTTTGGGGATCACATGAAGGAGGCATCTGATTGTCAGATTAAGAGGTAGGCATTTTATTCTATAGCGTAGACAATGGGTTGTCAGTGCCTTGCTCAGAGCTGTGCTTTATTTGGGCATCCTAGGCAGTATGAGTTAAATGCTGAGCTATTTTCTCTAACCTCAGGGGAGGTGGAAATGGGTCCCTGGCTTCTGTTGTTCAAGATGTGATGCACTGGGTTTTGCAGATTTAGAGCTATATTTTTCTTTTATTATTTGCTACTAGATTGATAGCCCTGAGGTGGCTGCTTAGGATAAGACATCTAGCCTGGCTGGGATGAGAAGGTACATTTTTCTGCTGGACTTTGAATCTGTGTAAACTTTGTAGGTTTTGAGTTAACCTGAGCCAAAGTTTTAATATCTGCTTGATGTTCTTTATGTTATAAATTGTGTATGTATTTACATATGAATGTACATGTTTCCAAATTTTGCGGGGGGCTGGGGGATAACTTTTATAACTCAGTTGTTCTGTGTTTCATGGAATAAAACAGCTGGAGGTTGGGGGTGGTGGTGAGGAGGATGTGGAGTCACATCTTAAATATCTATATTTTTATTCTCCAAGTTCCTTCTGGCTTAGTGCTATCAAGAGGCTTACATTATGGGGTATATTTTTTAAATAGGAATAGCACCAGCATTTCTCAAAATCTGGCCCTCCTTGAAAATTTGCCACAGAATTCACCCAGAGAGGTACCTCGTTGGGCTGAAATCAGAGGCCATATAGCAGCTGCCTGTTTAATAAGCTAAACATGAGATTCAGATACGTGCTCAGATTTGAGGACTACTTAAGTAACAAAAGATTAAGAGCCAAGAAATGGATTTTTGAATTTTAAAAAGGTGAAAAATGGCAGATAATAAAGCTATTAAAAAGAGTTTTGAAAAGCCTAGGAAACTTGGGCTTTTGGATATTTTTCTTTTAATTTGGCAAGATAGGAATTTCGCAGTCAAAAAGAAAAATTTGTGGTAGAAGGACCTTCACATCTTGAAATGGTCTTTCTCCTTTTTTTCCCTCCCTCTAGAAATCTGACCTATTCCTAAAGGCTTATCTTCTCTTACATGTTTCATGACCACTCTAGTCAATGAAATTTATCTTGGTTTTTAGAGTTGCCTTCTCTTATATTTGACATTCAGCCTTAGGGCCTCTTTTATTTTTAACTTGCCTACAGTGGTGACTTCACCTTTTAATTAGGATTTACGAACTTTATGCCTGTTGATATGGTCTCTCCAACTATCCATGTTTATCACCCAGTAAGAGCCAAATAGATGCTTCCAGTGTGCATGAGAGTATTTCAGAGGGCATAATGCAACTTTGCTTGAGGAACATGAATACTAAAGCTCTGTTGAGGGAAAGTGAACTTAAAACACATGGTTATATTCACTAAAATAGTCAAATATTTAAAAATGTAGTGTGCAGAGTTCTCTTTCTCCCCAATAGTTTTTAAAGAAATGTGGTGAACCAAAATTCTTTATTTTCATTTATGAGAAATAAACCCATTTCCATAACTCACCTTTCGTTTCAACACTTTCTTTCAATTTCACCTATGACTCAGACTTGGTTTATTTCTGGCAGTATGTTGTCCTTTAACTGAGAAGTAAAAGAACTCGGAACAATGACTTTCCAACTCCTCTAGTCCTTCTATAATAGTTCTTAAGTGCTGAGAGATAGTCGTTTGTGTGTTCACTGATTAAATCATCCATTATACTGGCCCTGTCTTGGGATCCTTTTCTTCCTTTTGGAATTTGACAACTGACTTTCTTTAATTTCATTTGTAGAAATGCATCTCACCCATTTATCCCTTCCCCCTCATTCTCCCTTCGAAGCCCTAGTGTCCCTGATTTTAGTGTGGGGGACTAGGGGTGGGTGGGAATTGATGCCTGCCTGGGGTTTTTAAGTACCAGAAGCAACATTATTTCTATATTTTTTGTTCTGCCACTGAAAATGCCTCAGCCCACACATAACTAGTTCTGGTTCTCTTCCTGTTCCTCCGCCTACAGCATCCTCCCTCTCCTCTTCAGATGCCTGCCCCCCTTCACAGAAGGCCACTTTCCTTCACAGTTCCAGAATGGTTTCATTCATCACTGTCACAGTCCCTGTCAATGGTAAACTCTGCCATCTTATCTGTGGCCACCAGTAAATGAATTTGCATTTAACATTTTAAAGAGTTTTCTTTGTTTCTGACATTTCTCCACCCACTGATACTTGTACTTATGCGGCTTGCTGTCACCTTTTTTTCCTGCCAGTTGGTTGGCAGGAACAAATCTCCCCCAGAAAATGCAAGAGGATCGTCCTGCCACTCAGAAAATCTTTCTAATCTTAATCTGACATTGGTTACAAGTGCTCACATTCTTCTTTGGGTGAGAAAGACAGACTTAAGAAGAAGAGGAACAATTTGAGAATTTGGCAGAGGTAGCTGAAAGTTGCAAATGATTATATTGGACATTGAGAAATTTTGGATTTGACTCCCTGCCCTGGGCTGACCTGCTGTCAGTTCTGTGTAAATTACTTAGTCTATTTGTGTCCTCTTCTGTGCTATGGGGATGACGTTAATTTCTAAATTGGGATGGGAGGTAGGTAATGGATACCACAATTTGAACTATTAAGATTATCAACAATAATGATATTGTTTGTTGAAAGCTTGGTATGTGCAAAGGTGCTAGGTGATTTGTACCCATGATGTCTACTTCTCAAGACAACATTGAGCAACTTGGGGCCCAGAGTAATTCAGTGTCTTGCTCAAGATCACACAGCCACAGCTTGTAAGGAATAGAACAAGAATTTGAACATACATCTGTCTGGTTCCAGAGTTCGCACATGTATGATGACTTTGTTACGTAAGATCAGGGTAGTACTGAGCACAATTGGGTGTTCTCAGTGATTTGTGTCTCCCCTTGCCTTGGTCTCCTTCAGGATATCGACTGATACTGGGTTTGTGTGTGACCAATAGTGTCTGTGTTTGAATTTCAGTTCAGCCATTTGCCAGCTATCTAACTTTAGGCAAGTTAGTTATCTAATCACTCTGTGCGTATTATCCACATCTGTAAAATAGGATGATAAAGGATGATAAAAACTTTTACCCCATAGATTTGTTGTGAGTGTTGACAAGTAAACACATATAAACAACTTTTGCTTAACATATTGTAACCCCTCAACGATTGTTACCTATCATCATTGTCAGCTGCAACATTATTTCCCTTCAGTGCTTCTCTGCAGACCTGTTCTGACTGGTTGTTTGACCATGCTACAGATGGATTCTTCCTTTTATCCGTGTGTGTGTGTGTGTGTGTGTGTAACAACCTGTTCAGTTTTTTTTTTTTTTTTTTTATGAGAGTCCCACTCTGTACCTTCCAAGGTGACTGACTCTTCCAGGATAAATTAACTCATTCTGTGGTATTAGTAGTAGATGATTTATTCTTGACTAGAATTTCTATTGACACGATACTTTAACCCCAAGATGTAAAATCATTTAGTGTAGATTGCAGGGATGGGGTGTGTTGGGTTATGGTGTAGTTTGTACTATAGCACGTTTTCTTCAAATAGAGCAGGGCCATATTTTATCTTTTATGCATACATTTAATTTCCTGGTAAATTTTTTATTTGAATTATAATAATAGCTAGCACCTACATAATACTTAACTTTATGCCAGATATTGTTCTCAACACCTCATATTATCTCCTTTAATTCTTTTTTTTTCTTTTCTTTTCTATTTTTTTGCGACGGAGTTTCACTCTTGTTGCCCGTGCTGGAGTGCAATGGCATGATCGTGGCTCACCGCAACCTCCGCCTCCCGGGTTCAAGCGATTCTCCTGCCTCAGCCTCCCGAGTAGCTGGGATTACAGGCATGCACCACCACACCTGGCTAATTTTGTACTTTTAGTAGAGATGGGGTTTCTCTATGTTGGTCAGGCTGGTCTCAAACTCTCGACCTCAGGTGATCCACCCGCCTCGGCCTCCCAAAGTGCCGGGATTACAGGCATGAGCCACTGTGCCTGGCCTATATACTTTAATTCTCAAAAAACCTGTGGGGTAGATGTTCTTATCCTCATTTTCTGTAAGCTAAAGCACAGAGAGGTTAAGTAACTTGTTCAAGATTGCACAGCTAGGAAGTGATAAAACTGGGATTTGAGCTCAGACAGTGCCCGTAACTGGTACAGTGTATTGACTCTAACTGAAGAAAAGGTTGCCCTGGCACTTTGGTAAGTTTGAAAACCACTGATATTTAATATTGGAAATTTAGGGCACAAACCTGTGCAAAGGCTGGGTGATGTCAGAAAGGTGTCAGCCTGAGACTGTAGTTTTGATTTTTTCAATATTTCTATATTTTTAAATGTTTCAAGATTTTATTTACTTTTTAGTAACTGACCCTGTAATTTCCAAACACTTCTCACCATCAGGTGGTAGAAGACAGTTGTTAAGTCATGTGATTCATAAAGGTGGAAGCAGATATCAAAATGCTTACATATGTTTTTTTAAAATTTCAACTTTTATTTTAGATACAGGGATACATGTGCAGGTTTGTTACATGAGAACATTGCGTGATGCTGAGGTTTGGAGTATGGATTCCACCACGCAGGGAGTGAGCATAATATCTGGTAAGTAGTTTTTTTTTTTTTTTTTAACCCACCCCTCCTCCCTCCACTCTCTAGTAGTCCACAGTGTCTATTGGTCCCATATTTATGTCCATGTGTGCTAAATTTTTAGCTCCCACTTATAAGTGAGAACATGTGGTATTTCGTCTTCTGTTCCTGCATTAATTTGCTTAGGATTATGGCCTCCAGTTCCATCTATGTGGCTGCAAAAGACATTATTCCATTCTTTTTATAACTACATAGTATTGCATGGTACATATATACCACATTTTCTTTATCCAGTCTACCATTGATGGGCACCTGGGTTGATTCCATTTCTTTGCTATTGTGAATAGTGCAGTGATACATATACAAGTGCATGTGTCTTTTTGATAAGAATAATCTATTTTTCTTTGGGTATATACCCAGTAATAGGATTGTTGGGTCGAGTGGTAGCTCTGTTTTAAGTTCTTTGAGAAATCTCTGATACATATGTCTTTTACTTAAAATACTGTCTTTATTAGCATAAGAAACTCTTAATAATATGGACCTTAATGTTTTCAGAACTCCTTATGGAACAAAATCAATATGTCTGATACAAATAATCTCTAAAAACCATGTCATACAGAAAAATGGTTGAAAGAAGTAAGGTTGTTTCACCTACAGTGAGAAGGCTTATGGAGATGAGATAACTGTCTTTAAATATTTAAGCATCAAATGTTTGTTATGAGGGGGTGGAATTGGGCTTGCTTTCTTTGGACTGAAGGACTGAGCTAGGATTCATATGTAAAAGTTATAAAGATAGCAAATTTTGGCTCATTATAAGGGAGGGTTTTCATAAAGGTTTTTCTCTCAAAAAGTTTTTATTGATACACAATAGACATACATATTTTGGGAGTACATGCCACATTTTGATACATTTATGCAATGTGTAATGATTGACTATTGTATATTTGAAAATATCCAGAAGAGAATGAGGAGCTTTTTAATGACACAAAATTTCTTACGATTTTTAAAATTATGACTAAAATATACTTGGGGAAATAAGATTTTCTGAGCGATGGCTATCAAGCAAGTCTTCATATATGTATTTTCTTAGTTTTTATTAATATTAAATGTGTTCTTTCAAATTGTTAAAACGGCTCTAGTAGTGAGTGGTCTCTTCTGTACACACACCACTTACTGAATACTTACTATGTCTCAGTTCTGACTTATTTGAGCTTTGGGTCCCTAGTCCTTAGACAACCTCTAACTTTTCACCATAGCTGTTTATATTATCAGTGACTTAATGCCCTCCTTCAGGTGGCCCTCTTCTATGTGCTACTTTGCCTTTTGATTTAACCTGAAAAACTCAAGAGACTCAATCATTAGACCTGTCAGAACACTAAAATTCCACATCTCCTCATCAAGAGAAGGGAGAACATCTATCTTATTCTCTTGGCTGGTTGAATAAGCTTCCTAGTATGCAACATTTTTCCTGAGAAATTACTCTAAAATGAAGACAGAGAGGATTATAAGATGACAGAATCTTGTAATGCAGAAATTGGAACAAAATTTGAACCTTTTAAAATCACAGGGTGAACCTTGGTGTGTAGTCTAAAATCACTTCTAGGTATTTTCCTATTTTACCCTTTTAGACTCAGGCAAAAGGTTTTATCACTATATTGAGAAGTATAGTTTTGTTAAATAAATAACTCTCTTGTTTCTATGAGGAAAGCAAACTTCAGTAAGAGCTCTTCAAATATTTTTTTTCAAGACAATTCTGAGACAGAGTTGGGGTAAAAGAGGCTGTTTTATCTGCTCTATGCTGGTAGTACCAAATAGTCTCTCATTTAAAATTCATCAAATTTCAGTGTCCCATGACAGATGAAAAACACTGATGAAATACTTGGAAAGCGATCATATCTGGTGTGTCAGATTCAAACCTAGTGAGATTTTTAAAGAATTTAAGAAGTATTCTTAGAAGTATATAATCATTTCTTGGTTGAGGACTCCTTAATATAAGGCAGATTATATTACGAACCAAGCTCCCTCCTCCCCACCCTATCCTCAGTTTTCTGTTATTTTCTTATTTCATAAGCATGGCTAAATATTATGTTTCTCTAGACTCATGTTAGACAGGAGGAAGAGATGTGTCATCATGTTTTGACTAACGTGAGGGATGGATAACAAAGATAAATTAATCTTTCAAAGCAGGCTCCATTTTATTGAGGGTTCAATCTAACTATAAACCTTACTTGGTGCTGTTAAACAAAAGTTCACATTTTTCTATTTGGAGTTAACACCTTTTGTTGCTCTGACTACTGTCTAGTCTGCAAGCTAAGGGAGCCAGGATCAAGTCAGGGAAGAAGCTTAGAGCCCAACGAATATCTGATTGGCCCAACCTCTCTTGAATACATGAGAAATAACTAAAGAATCCATAGAGGGCTGCATTAAAGGAGAGATAATTGTATTTTTTAAAATCAGTGTTTGCAAACTGAGGATTGGAAAATAGGGGAATTGTTATAACCGCTGCAAAAAAATGGTATTGCATTTTTAACCTAAGTCAGTCAGTTGAGAGAAACCAGCTGCTTCTCAACTACTTTCATTCTTTTCTGCACTTTTCATAAGGAAACCTCTATTAACCTGAATGTATGTAGGAAGAAGGAAAGCATGAAAGGTTCTGATTAGGAGGATTTTTAGGACATGGAAATTCTTTTTTTTTCTCTCTCTCTCTTTTGGTGAAAATATTTTCAAAACATTGGAATAAGAATAACTACTATGTATTGAGACCCACCTGGGTCAGTGCTTACTTTATACCTGCCCTGGGTGGTAGCTGGTATATATTATCCTGATTATACAGACGAGAAGTCTGAAATTCAGAGAGCTTAAATAGATTTTCCAAGGCCACTCAACAAGGAAATAGAACACAAGGGATGAAATCCAAAGCTTTTTGCCCTTGCTCTGCCAAATTTACCACACGAGGATCATGTTAAGCCTTAGGACTTCATTTTGGTGTCAGCAACCACCTCAGTGTTGGGGTTATTGTTCCTCACTTGACCGTCTTCTACAATAAAGTTCTCTAATAGAGACTATTTATTAAGTGGTAGTTGATGCCTATAAGAGACAGGAGTCAAGATGGTTGTTTTGGGGCATTATAATCTAATAGGAGGAACAGGAAACATGTTAAGTCTTTTTTAAAAAATCACCGTGCTCTGTCAATACACAAGAGAAAATCTCCACACAGGTATGACAGAATTTCTCGGTAGGTGTGCAAGTTCTACTGTATAAAGGTTCAATAACTACTCAGAGATAAACATCATTTCAGGGTGTTTGAAACAGGAATGAATTTCACTAAGAAGTCATGTCCTTCTGCAGGAAATACTATGAGAATACTCAGAGTCTCCCCAGTGCTGGCCAATGTCCTATTTTTTTGTACAATCTGTGATGTATCTCAATTACCAGATAAATTTAGACTGACACAGTAGAAATGTTCCTGAGAAGTTAACTGGTGAACACCAATTTTTTTCTCAAATGAATTATTTTTAACGTGTGCTTATGGAGCAATTATAAAAATCCTGTGATTGATCTCTTTTAAAACAAAGTAAGCATACCCCAGTTGAGTTGGTTTGTGTGTGTGTGTGTGGTGTTTTTTTTTTTTTTTTTTTTTTTTTTTTTTTTGAGATGGAGACTCACTCTGTCGCCCAGGCTGGAGTGCAGTGCAGTGGCACGATCTCAGCTCACTGCAACATCCGCTTCTCCGGTTCAAGCAATTCTCCTGCCTCAGCCTCCCGAGTGGCTGATATTACAGGCACCTGCCACCACGCCCAGCTATTTGTATTTTAGTAGAGACAGGGTTTCACCGTGTTAGCCAGTCTGGTCTCCAACTCCTGAGCTTAGGCAATCCACCTGCGTCGGCCTCCCAAAATGCTAGGATTACAGGTGTAAGCCACTGCGCCCGGCCTTGACTTGTTTTTATGTTTGTTTTTTTATCTATTAAACACCTTGAAGTGGAGCAGATCAACACACACAAACTCTGGACAGCTCCTTAATTTATTGTAATAAGGTTTAAACTTTATTTCAAACTATAGTCACAAATGCCAAGGGGCTGTGTAGAAAAGAGGGACAAAGTTTCCTGGGAGAGGCTGTCTTCCCTCAGCGATGTGAACAGTACAGCTTGTCTGTTTCCCCCTTAATGGCACGTGGGGATACTCAGCACTATAATAATGAAGGAGATACTGTTTTCCCCTAAATGAGAAATGGCAGGCGAGGTAGCTTTTGGTGTATTATGGATTTCTGAGAAATACTATAGGGATTCTGATTTTAATTCAGTCCGTTCAGATTCATGAAGCATTTTGTGTTTAAAAATATAGTGCAGAGTTTCCGAGTAGGATGTGCTAGATGAAGGAGTGTGTTTTAGATCTGGTTTACAGGGGAATTCTTGAGGGGAATCCTTTAGTAAAACTGTAGAAAGACACTTATTTACTGGAACCATACATTTTAGTGGTTACCTTTGGTAATTGTGGGTCAAGGCTGAGTCCTTAGTTGTCTGCCTTTATAATTGTAGGGGAATTCAGGTTTTCATTTTTGTTTTCATGGCCATTTACAAATATTAATACATTGATACAACAAAAGAGAAATAACTAAATGAGATTAAATTTATTGTATTTTACTTAATTATGTACTGACAAAAACATATAATAAAGGATCCTGGCTGCAGAACTATGTAATAATACTTAAGTTTTGCATCTTTCAAGCATTTTACAGATAATAATTTCCATAGAAACACAGTGGAAGAAGTAAATATTATTTCCATAGATAGGCAGATCCCAGCAAAATGTGACCAAGGGATCTAGGTGTATGTTTCAAAATTTGCATCTGGCCTTTTGGGCATATCTGGTAAAGCATCAGCTTATGTGTTTAGCAGGGAAAAAGCAATCATTAAATCCTCTGAGGTTGACCATTTGTTTTAAGGGGGAGATAGGATTCTTCAAAGCAATCCATTCAGAAGGAAACAAAAATATGTCTGAATTTTAAAAAATGTG